GAAGTCGAACGCGGTGCGTAGCTGTGGGATTCAGCCCGCAAGCTTATGTTTTGATCGAGGTGGCGCCAGTTTGTTTTTAAAGGAACTACTTTGAGTCGTCTAAGAACCGGTTGCAGAACGTCTCTGACAGCAGGATCAAGTCCAGCCGGCTTTTCGAGGAAGCATACAAGGATACGCGTTTCGTGTCAAAGTGGGTCCGCTGATGCATCGACGACACCCAGCTCGCAAGCCACTCGTGACAGCTGGATCGATTCGGGTCATACCTCAACTCAGGATGCGAAGCGTCGAGACGGGCTGAGTGGAGTGTTGAGATCACCTAACACCAAGTGCGTCGCTTGATCCTCGAACCCTTCAGTCTCGAGATTATCGAAGAAGTGTTGATGCTCCTGTCGATCCACAGGCGCGAACACGTGGTAGATGTAGATCGTAGCACTCTCGACCATCATCTCCACGGCAATAAAGCGACCAACAGCAATTAATTGTATATAAGATTAATAAATTTTGTAAATTAAGGAAAATCAGAAAATTAAAAAATCACTTTCTAAAAGCAACTTAATGTCGGATTATCGACCGCAAATCCTCCCCATAACTACCAAAATCAATTCTTGATTTTGAACTTCCAACTGTTTTAATTGATCTATCAAATAAAAAACACCAATTACAATTAAACAAACCGCTATCTATCCAATTTGAAATATAAAATCTTTTATCTTCCAAGTAAGCATTGTGGGTTCGAATCCCACCAATCACTTTTATTTTAAAACATTTTTTTATTGCGGGAGTTCAATCGCCGAGTCAAGGCCGGGGTTGTCAAAGCAAAGGACCGTGAGCACACCACCACTCCGACCTCTAATGGATCGATCCAACAGTGAATTTGGATCGCTCACGAAGATTCTGTGCTTAATGCTCGAGTCGACGTGGAACTTGAAAGTCGAGAGGAGCATGCTGTCAACAAATTTAGTTTCTTGGATGCACGACACCGAAGGGCCCAGAGAGCATGCTCTTAGTAAATAGGTGACCGTTCTTCTTGATGCCAATAGTGTTCATTGTGAGGACACAAACGTTTCTCCATATCACGGTAGGCAACGCGGACGATTTAGCAGCCAAGCCACCCACGACCAACACCACCCGATCATCCACGTCTTGTAGCTGAAGCACCAACGAGTCGTCAGGGTAGTACCCATCGAGCGTGCACAGCGCTTCCAGATCGTCGAGCAGGTAACCCTGCCACTGCGTCTCACTCCATTGATGCATACAGTGCATACCGAGGTCCGACTGTAGCAGACAAAGGGGCGTGTTTTGATGCAGCAAACGCGTGTTGTGTGCTGAAATCCACTCAACCGACTGACTACCGGCTGAGATACTGGATCCGATGATCATTGGCAAAGATTGTCGGCGCGATGGACAATAATTAATGCCAGCTCGAACATCTCCAAAGTCAGCTCTCGCATCGGCTCGGACGTGTTCCACCACTTGGCGCACTTCTTAACGATGTCGAGGTGCTTGCACGAAAATGTTGTTTCCATTCCCTTTTTCCACTTGGTTGTGAAAGGGAAGTCCTGACCCGGCTGCGTCGCTGATAACACACAATTGATTGTGTGCAACTGCGCGAGCTCAACAATTTCGGCCCCGTTGCCTGCTATCTTCAGCGACAGAGTGCTGCTGAAGGCGAGTGGACACTCGATCGCCTTCATTGTGATAGGGTTGGCGTTCGCGACTTCCTCGAGCATCTTGCACACTCTGTCGACCCTCTTGTATGCTTCTGCGAGGCGGTCAGGGAGGATATTGAGAAGCGCCGTTTTTTCATCGTCGAGTATCACTTCCATGACAAGAGATGTCTGGTTGATCTTTGTGTGTGCTTCTCCACAAAAGATGCGGACTCGGTCGATGTCTTCACAGTAGCAGGAAGCCTCATATTCACAGGATTAACCTGGTGACGCACACCGAACTCGCATCATTCACATCGAACGAGAACCATATCGACTGGAACGCATGAAAGAAGTTCTCGGTTGCGATGCCATCCAGTGGTATCGTTTTTTTTTCAGCAGAACAGTGATAGCGATTCCACTACGACCTCGCTTCCTGTTGTTGTTCATGACGGTGGTGAAGCCGTCGGTAAGGAGCAACATTGGCGGGTTTTGTTTTCGGACTGCCAGGGGGGAGATCTTGCCGTCCGAGCCGTTGGATTTTGAGATCGACAGTGTATCGTTCCGGTTGCATGGCGGGCCTACGAGCTGATTTCAGCATGTTGCTGGCCATGCTGTGCTCCACTCTGGAGCTGACCATCCCGTTTCCAAGCTTTCTCGACAGCCTTCTGGAGCGAGGTTTGCTGTGACGAATTTTTTGCTATTTAAGCGTACGAACTCGGAGACGTTTGTTAATTTTGCTGTAGCTGCGAAGCAGATTCAATAGGACACGCTGGGCGAGGAAACTTGTCGTCAGTCGTCCCAAGGTTGATACCGTGGTGCGAGCGATACCCGAATGGCAAATGTTCCGACTGGAACAAATTATTATTGCCATGCGCCGGATGCAACTTGATATCAAAACGGATCTGGTTGCACTCCAACCCATTCACTATCAACGCGCTTGGACACGTGCTGGTTAGAAAGTGACGCACCGTATGAACGGCATGATTCCCGTCATTAGGCTTACTTCGCGAGACGTGTCATACACCGGCTTGCATACCAGCAACAAAAAATCGGGAGGCTAAGTCCGTGTTGGTGTCCGAGTCGACATTCGCGATATCGATGGGTACTTGCTATCATGTACGTCGAAATCCATAAACAACCAGGGATGCTGAACTAAGTGCCCGAGGGATTCGTTACCAGGGTGCTTGCCAGCCAGCGACACCTTGATCTTCTCGTGCTGGGCCTTGGTAAACGTCCGACCGGTATCGATCACATGTCGTATTTGGCGCGCTCACACGGTTTGTGCTTGCTCCATGCGAGTCGAGATGGCAGCCATCACCACCGGCGTACTGGCGCTCGATCGCTATCATTTTACAAGGTAGGGGCTTTGGGGTCTCCACACGACAACGCGCACATTCGACTTCAATAACAGAGCAAGTCCGCGTGTCGAAGCCTAGATGCGGGGAAGCATTGCGGGGGCTGCTTGAGATCCATCGATTCGTCGTCCGAAGCAGCAGCGGTTTCCGGAGGCGAGTTGGAAATAATTGGGGTTGCGTCTATGAGCTCGTTGTCGGGATCGACCGCATCAGCAAACAACGCCGGCAGGGCGGGAAACGCAGACATTGGATTTGACGGGGCAAGTGGGGAGGCGACGAGGAAAGTGGGAGGCGACGGCGTAGTCGGATGAGTGGCTGGCGATGAGCCAGTTGGAGGTCTAAAGCCAGCGTGGGAATTCGAGTAAGATGGGTCGGCCGTGGTGCCCAGCCAGATACTAAGTGCGAATCCAGGAGTCGAGCCTATTACAGTGCGAGGGGGCTGATCGGTGGGGAATGAAGAGGCAACAGCAGCCAAAATCATCATCTTCAAGAAGAAAAGAAGAAGCGGAGAGCTGGGGGAGATAAAGTTCTTCTGTATAGTTGACTTGTGGGGTATCCGGCAAATTGAAATTTATTTTATTTTCGAATCAAAGCGTCAGCCATCGAATTATATCTCAAAAGTAGCTTGGCACATTGAAGCTAAAATATCTTAGTCTTGGCGACAAATTCAAAAGATATACACCATCAAAGTCTCAACATCTCATCCACGACAAGACTTCATATGTCAAGGCGACAAATATTCGCGTTCAGAGGAAGAATGGATACAAACTCAGCCAATATGTTGGTAAGTTTCAGGATTTCATCGTGTGGGAGCAGAGGCTCGAGCAGTGCTATCAAATTTCACTGCTTTGAAAAGCGCGCAAACCTGCCAATGCTATTCACGGGTGTTGGAGAAGTCATATCCATTCTATGCTGTAATTATGCAGCGTGTAGCCTGATCAATATTATCAGTTCTACAAGTTGACTTCAACTCAAGTCAACAATGTTATATCTTAAGGTGGAATGCATATACGCACTTTACAATTTGTCGTATTGCAGTCTGTAATGACTGGTCATTAAAAGTGTCGGTATTCATCTAATGCTTGTGCAGCCGTTTTTAAAGCGTTAAGGCATTGTTCATTTGCAAAATTCAAAGCGGCATCCTACCCCTACATGGCCGTGTGATCTGACCAAATATTTTTTATCATGCCTAATTAAAACGCCAAGAGCAATTACACTGAGCGGTACAATTGACCCGGTGGCGTGGGTCGAATGGTCAATGCTTCTGGACCTTACGCTGTGTGGTGCGG